CAAGTAATAAAATTTAAATAAAATTCGTCTTTATAAAATAATCTTATAATCAAAATATACTAATAGTTATAAAGAATATTCTTGTCAATATGTCAATATTTCTTCTATATAATGGTCAAGTAATCATCTCTTTTGGTATCTCTAACCAGTATAGAACCAAAAAAAATGAAATATCTGAAGTCATGTAGTATCATAAGGTCTGAAAAAATTTCTAAAATTTTTGTCTATATGGCATAATAAAGGAAAATTATTCTAAGAATACATTTTTACAAAAGTGTCTCGAATATGATGTTAGCAATAAGTAACCATGTCTTGGGTCCTTAATTAAAGTTGTAGAACAGACTTCTACGATTCTAACAGTAATTGAAATTTTAAAATTGGTCTAGCAGTTAACATTCTATGGTAATTTAAAGAAATCCCGAATCTCTTGTTTTTCTCTTTTCTAAGTTCAAAGAAGGATTTTATAGGTACAGAAAAATGGCATCACTACTTTGAAAGTGATTTGTGGTTCAGGGAAGCATTTTTGTATTATGATATAATATAATAAAATTTGTAGAGCTGTCTTCTGTGAGTATACTAATATGTGTTATATCTCTGTAGAATTAAAATTCATTAAGATATTAAAGAAAAACGAAATGTATTTAGAATCATTATTGTAAAATTTCTTTTCTTTTTTTCTAGATGTTCATACTAAGTTAATAGGTCTTAATACTTAGACAAAAAATATAGAGAGACTTTCTATAAATCTAAAGGAGGTGAGTTCATCTAAAACAGACAAGTAGATGATGAGATATTAAGGTTCAAAGTTTGTGTATTGATATTCAGAAAAAGAAAATTTCAAGAAAATTATTTGTAACAAGAAGGAAGTTAAAACCTTAACGATTTATAAAAGATCAGAGAAGCATTTTATTACTAAGTAACTTATATATAAAAATGTAAAGAAAATGTTCAAGAATCTAAAGAAGGTGAGATTTTGAGAATAGAACAAAAATTCATGAAGATATCAAAGAAAAACGATGATCAACTAATTTTTCATTTTTCTATCAGAGAAGATCTGTTAGATTCGTCCAAAGAAAATTTTGTATTTCTGCCAGAAGGCACTAAATGTTATAGAGTGAAAGCCTTCTTATTTCCACATTACAACAATGACACAGCACAGGGAATCCCTTATGGGTATATGTGGTATCCAAGAGGGAAGTATAGCTTCTGTTAGACATTATCAAGAAACTATACCCATCTCTGAGACAGTTTAATAATTATTACATAGTAGTTTATAGTTAAAGTTATTTATTAAAAAATTGTAAGAAGGATGATCCTTAGACGCCTATCCTAAAGGATTCAAGGTATAAATTACAGGATAAGAAGAAGGTGAATTGTCTGTTTCTTGGGAACTGTTAGATATAGAACTTGTTGAATGCTTTTCTACTTGGGAGAATTTAGAGGGTTTATATATCTGTAAGTTAAGCAGCTAAGCAACTAAGAGTCTAAGTGACCAGTTGCACTAAGGAACTAAGTGACTAGTTTCACTAAGGGACTAAGCAACTAGTTTCACTAAGGGACTAAGCAACTAGTTACACTAAGGGACTAAGCAACTAGTTATGCTAAGAGACTAAGTGACTAGTTACACTAAGGGACTAAGTGACTAGTATTACAAGCTTAAGGCATTAAATGTTTTAAAGTATTAAAGTAACTATAACTAATAATAATACAATAATAGAAATCTATTCTATAACAACACAATAAATTGATTTATTTTCATAGTAAGACTTGACTATCATAAACTATTAGAAGTTGATAGTTTATTTAAGCTTTAATTTGCACACTTTGCTCATATTAGATAAAAAAATTTAATTTATACAATGGCAAAAAAAGTAAATATGATCAAATCGTTTTTATATATTCGATGATTTAAGGCAATAATTGAAATCAGTAGCTTAACCTGTCACAGATTATGGATGTGCAATTTATTTACAATATACAGATGACGTTTTATTTATATATTTAATTAAATTTTACATTTTTATATTTATTATTGCAAAAATAAGGTTCAAGGCTTTGATCCTCGCCAAGTAGAATCACACAGATGTCTATTTTTCATGGTTTCTATATCACTAATAATTGTATAAGCATGATCTATGTTATTAACAACCGATTCAACATATCATAAATTGTTTGCAGCCATTTCTATATTTAAATGTTCAACCAAATGATTTAAAGCAGCGATTTTAGTTTCTAATTCTTGATGCTTGTTTCTATTTTTGAAGTCTTCTACAGCATTATTTTCTATGTCAGTTTGATGTCGTATTAGATCAAAGAATATTACAGATACGTCTTGCACTTCACTTCCATTCCAAATTAAAAATGGATAATCAGTTCGTCATTTAAAATTAGAAAAAATTAACCGAATATCTTGTGACTCTGATTCTTTCACTTTTTCAGATATCATGTAGATCAAATGCTTACAAACAAGAAAATGGCTATAAAGAAAATATGGACAGCTACATATCTAATGTTTTAAATCAGTAAAGTGGCATTCTTTAATTTCTACATCAATTGGTTTTTTATTAAGGTTTTCTATTCCTTTTTAAATTCTTCAAACCATAATAAAACTGTTCTACCTAGTAGAATTTGTTGAAGACGAATAATTTGGTCAAGTAATATGTGAGTACAAATAACCCAAATAAGATAATCAAGCTGTGGATGGTTATATTGGTAAAGATAAGTATGCTTTAGAACTTTCCAATATGCTTCAATCATTATATTTGTTTTACTAAATGGTATAGTTTCTCTTGTAGAACAGGCTCAAAGATACTATCATGAAGGTTTATACCAAGCATACCACAGATAAGCCCAAAGCAAAACAAGATTATTCTTCTTACAAAACCTATATATTTCTTGAACTGCCATATTTCTTATTTCCACAGATGATAGAAACAGACCATTTGAATTAATTGGAATCTTAGAGTGCATATTAAAATGTTTTCTCACAAGATCAATTATGTTTTTATGAAGATTGGATGGACAAACAACATAGTATTCTTTATTTTCATATTGCAAGTCAGGTTTAAAAGAAGGGTCGACAAAAGAGAACTCATTTGAGACTTCTTCAAATTGATAGTCAGTCCATTTAGGTTTCTTTTTATTCATAATTTTTTTTTTGATTGCTTTCTCAATATGCCAGAGACAAAGCTGAATATTACTTGCTGGCTATACATTTTTCACTACATTTATTTCAGCAAAGTCCTTGTCAGTATAAAAATAGATTGGATGCAAACCTTTATTATAAAGAGTATGAAAAAAACTCTCAAGTGCCTCAGTTTGTAACCTTTCGTGAGTTTCATTATTTGTTTTTGTTGTATCAAGGATAAGATAAGCTAAAGGAAAGCCAGCACCTTTGATATTTCCAACTTGTCCATATAGTTCAAAACATCCCTTGGCAGTTTTGTAAGTGGCATCACAATGCACTTCTGTTACATTATGCAATGAATGAAGTAAGGATGTTATAAAACCAATTGCTGTTATATTTGCATTTTCTAATTTAAAACACAAATCAAAATCATTTTTTTTTGCTATTCAATAAGTGTGCACGCAGAAATAACATGATCTTCATTTTTTTTATATAATTTTTGAGCAAAGTATGACCACCAGTAATGGATTTGCTTTAAAGTAATCTTAGACATGTCGAATTTCTTGTAAAGGTGTGTTCAGAGGTATACAGGATTCATGTTTAAGTTATCTATAATTTCTTGTTTAATTTCTGGTAGTGTTGTAATATCAATGGGTTTATCATGGATCAATTTATGTTTTAACACCACTTTAGCTTCTTTAGCTAGAATATCGATTTTGATATTTAATTTACTATCGCAACTGAAATGATCAATTCTTTTTCGATTTGAGTCCTTGTATTCATGTTTAAGCTTATTATTTTGAGAACATGCAAAATATGCATTACCAACATCTTGAAACCGAGTTGAAAGATTTGGTGCAGTCATAACACTGCAATTCACATATGAAATTAGTAAAAAGCATATTTTTTAGTTACAGTAAAACCTTTATAAGTGCATGCGTTTGGGACTAAACATTAATAATATACACTTAAAGAACAATAAAAAAAAGTGTATTTATAAAAGTCATCTATATAGTTTGGCTTGAATTTAAGCATGCTTTTGGAGAGAATATGCACTTATAAAGGTTTTACTATAAAATGTTACATTTACTTACATTCATTTAAAATCATCTTCTTCAATTTTATCAACAATTAGTTTGGTCATTATTTCAACATTCATTCCAACAGCACATAGCATAGCCTCATCAAGTTTAACATAAAATGTAGATGAAAGTATTGCATTATTTTCTAAACTGGCAATCGAATCTGCAATATAATTACTAATTTCTTCAATGAAAATTATTTCACTGAGGATTTCCTCCTTATTATCAATATCATCAATTGACCCATTTTTAAAAATTTTTTTTTTTCAGCTTTGGCTTTACATATAGCATACATTTTATATGTCTTGTTATTATATATGAATGCTTTAGAAGGAAGAGTATGATAGCAAGAGGTACAGTAATTCATTATAAAATTTAATATAATTAGATTAATTGAATGTGATTTGACTATACTAATTTTTTAGTTGAAATATATTTAGGATTTAGTTTTAATTATGAATATTGAGAAGCTTTGTAACTTTTTTGGTTAGATAACTTAATTCGTTTGGATGGTTCAGTAAGATTAATGAAGATATATGTAGTCCAGGATTAATATGAGGTGATCATAATAGTTAGTATGTGCAATAATATTTATAGATTTATTTAAATGATGTATTGAGGTTTGAGGCAAAAATTTTAATAAACAGAGTAAATTTTTAATAATGAAATGATTTTAGTATTTTAGTATTCAATTAACAGAAATCAAATTTTATTAGACTTTATTAATGTTAAAACAAGGCTTTAAATACTTTTTTTTTTAATTTATAATATTTAATCCTCTTATTATATTATAATAAGATACCATAGCATTTATAATATGAATTACCATGATATGAATGGCCACGGCAATTATATGAATGGCCATAAAGATTACCTTAATTAATGTTATAATTAAGTGCTACGATAAATAACAGAGACTGTTAATGTTATATATATATTAAACCTGGTGAGAGATTAAATCAATCACAATTGAATCCAACATAAATAATTTAATTTGTAATTGATCACAGGTGAAAAGGATTCACTTTGGATCAAGCACTGTCTTTGCTATTGCTATGATGCTTATAATATGAATGAACATGGCAATTATAATATGAATGGCCACAGCAATTATAATATGAATAACCATGGCAATTATGATTTGAATGGTCATGATTGTAATACACCAAGTGTTGTTTAAAGTGTATAACACATATTTTAAGTCACATAAATGTGACAGTTTGCATTGAATCTATGATTTTAAACAATTTTACATGTATATTTAAAAAATTAACTATGAATATAGTTGTATGCTATAAAAATTTAGTATAGCATAATATTAAATATTGATTTTATTGTACATAATTTTAATAATATTTTATTAGCGATAATTATTTATTGAGGTGCAGGGCTTTTACAACTAAACATTAAAAGTTCAAATTTGAATAGATTGTTAAAATATTTCTACAATTTGCCAAATTTTATATTCAATTAAAAAAATTTAACATTAGTTCAATTTTTGTCTAAATAAATTAAGTTATAAAATAAATTCATTTTTTCATGTGTAATATAAAAAATGATTTTGTGATTTTTGTTATTGGGATAAAAAAATCTTTTAATAAACCTAAAGATTAGTGACCACAAATAATTTTAATTTACTTTGTTGACAGATTATCCTAACATTATTACTCTTAGCATTCTTGTGGATGTTTTTGATTGGTGATGTTTTTGATTGGTTCTAAGATAGTTGTTTAGATCTGGTGAATCACGTGTTCGGAAAATCGATCCTACACCCTGGTATTGTTTATATAATATTCATATTATGGCAACTGTTACTAATGATTGGGTTAGGATACCTGTAATGGCAGTTACACCAGCATGACTGGCAGGTCATAGGGCATCTGTGTAAGTATGGCATTACACAGAGGAATGCAAACTGACAAATCAGGTGGTGCAAACACTAGATAAGTTCTTGTGGCCATGTAAATCTGTTGAAATTGGATAACAAAAAGTCCATTTGGGAGGACTCGAGTAGAGAGATAGCTGGATCTTTGATGGCCCTACTGTAAAGGCTAGCCTGAGAAAACAGATACCGAGGTCATAGTACTCAGTCGTAGTAGCAAGACGGGCAAGAACCTCTGAGTTGGAAGGCTTGGAGGTACTACCAACCAGGCCACTATAACGAACCAAAAGAAAAGGATATCAGGCTGACCTGATATACTGATGGACTGGTCATAGTTCTACACAGGCTATCTGGATTGGGAGTTTGGTAAAAAGGCTAAACAAAAGGCAGGGGTATACTAAAGTACTGGAGTTATGTTGTAAAATAGATGCTAGGGTTTAAGTAAACTCTACAAGGGCATAGTGGTTTAATGGTTAGCCCTGACTGCAAGTGTTGGTTCTGCTATAGCAATACCTAGGTCAGCTATAAAAATGGGTACAGAAGGCTCTAGGAGGTTTACCTTGAGGATAAATTTGTCCTAAGGTTGAGGACAATGATCTAGTACATCTGAGATGATCAGTGATGTTAACACAGGTTACAGGTTTAGAGGGTTTAAAGTAAAACATCCAAGCAGGAGTGTTAGATATGGCAATTGGTAAGAAACCTTCGGGGGATTCCTTAAATAGGTAATATAGAAAAGTTATATATGTAGCCAATTGTGTGCTCTCCTGTAATGGTTCATTGAACCACAATACCAATAAGTGATTAATAAAAGTCAAAAGATCAAAGAGGTCACCTTAATACCAAAAAAAAAAAAAAATATTGCTGATGCATTGCATAATCCAAATGGCATTATATTAAATTTATAAATATCATATTTTGTAATAAATGCAGTCTTTTCTTTATCTTTTGAATCTATTATAACTTGTCAGTAACCACTAGCTAAATCTAAAGTTGAGAACTATTATAATCCAAATAATGTATTTAACATTTCTTGTATTCTTGGTAAAGAATAGACATCTTTTTTAGTGACATTGTTAAGTTTTTTGTAATCTATACAAAATCTTAACTTTTTATTCTTCTTCTATACTAGGACAACAGATGATGCTCAAGAGCTTTCTGATAGTTGAATTATGTTGCTTTCTAGCATTTATTCAATTTCTTTTTTGATAAAATTCTGTTCATCAGGTGGCATGTTGTAAGGGTGTAGTTTAACAGATAGTATATCTTCTGTATAGATATAATGTTTAACTTTATCTGTTTTGCCAAGTTCTGTAATATCTTTGGCAAATAAATCAGCAAATTCTTTTACAAGTTCTTGAACAATTGTTTTTGTTCTTTAGTAAGTGGTTCTACATTTACAGTATCTGTTTTCTTTAAGGCATATTCCTCATATAATATTAGAATATTTATTGTATATACATGTTTTTCTTTTAATATATTTCTTTGCAAAGCCTGTTGCAAAGCTTCTTTTTCTGTTAGTAATTCTTCTTCTTTAATTTCTTTGTTTTTTATTTCTTCTAAGTCTTTTAGGTCTTTTGGATCTTTTGGGTCTTTTGAATCTTTTAAATCTTCTAAGTCAGATAGTTTTTGATCTTGCCTAGAATGATTTAAAAATTTTAAGATGCAAAGGCCAAACAGAAGTAATAATTTGTTCGTTTTTGATGATGAGTTATTTGATTTTGGAAAAATTCAACATTTTTTTAAATTGTCTTCTAGATGTTAAATTATAGCTTCTAATTTGACAATAATTTGGTCTTTTTCATTCTCTTTTTCATCCTTTCTTTTCTTAGAAATAGTGTTCTTACTTATTTCTATAAGTTTTATGATAGTTTCTTCTGGTAACTCTATTACTTCTATAATGTTTTCTTTTTCTGGAATAGTTTTTTTAGCAAGAGTTAGCTTATTTAACTCTTGGTAATATTCATTACAGTATCCTTGATGTTTTTTTCAGTTTTGTATATTGTTTAGCAAAAAGGCATTCATGACAAAGAGCTACTTTTTTTTCAAAATTTTTTCTTAGGTTTTTTATTGCTTTTTGAATATCAAAGTCTAAATAAGCAGTATTAAAAGATTTATCTAAGATCTGTTGTAAGGTAGCTTCTTCTTTCTTAGTAAAATTTACTTGTTCTGTTCGAAATAAGATAATAATTTCATCAGAGATCTATTTATGACTATATCTATCATGATCTTGTTCTTTCATGGCTTCCTCTATGGTTTGAGGGTTTTCTTCTAATAAGACTTTAGCAAGTTGATAAATTCTATCTTGGTTCAAGTTATACTAACTTCTAGCACTCTTGTTAGACTTAGTATAGTGTTTAATTCTATTCTAAATTTTATAATTTAGGTTATATTACAAATTTAAGCTAACTTTATAAGCATATATATGTTTTAATTTACAGAACTATAGGTCTTCTTGCATACTTTCTAAGTAATATATTCTTAATCAAGGTTTCTAAATATTACATATTTTACATTAGACAAGGGTTTCTTTTTCTAATTCTGTTATATTATATTCTTAAGTTTCTGATTCATTTGGGTCAAGGCCTTTATAGTAGGTTTTGTAGCAAGTAGTACAAGCTAGTTGAGTTTTTAGCTTGTATAGTTTTTCTGGTTGCTGTAGAGTAAAGCAAAGACAACAATAGTAGGTTCTTCTTTTGCTATAATAGGATTGTCTTTTTTGTTCTACCAAGTCTTGATTATATCTATATCTATAAATTAGATTATCAAGCTTCAATTAAAAGTCTTTGAAAAAGTGAGTAGTTTGTTTGCAATTTTTGCAAGCCAATTGTTTTCTTGGTTTGTTAGAACAGTTGGTAGATTGGTGACCATATCTATTGCAATGTTAATATTTATTTTTAGAACAGTTTTCATGTAGATGAGTAGTCTTGTCGCAGATATAACATGCAGAGTAGTTCTTTTTTCGAAAGTATGTAGTTTATCTTCTATTATAATTTTTTTTTTTAGAAATTATAGAGAAGGCATAGGCTTCATAGAGAGTTAAATATTCCTGCTCATATAGTTCAAAATCTTCTAGAGTAGTGCAAGTATGTTGTTTTTCTCAAGGTTGTTCTTGCTCATAAGATGTATCAAGAATAATTTTTTTTCCTTTTCAATAAATAGTATATTGGGAAGTTTTCTAGTTATAGTTAGCTTCTACTTTCTTTAACTAATTATTTTCTAATAAAAGTGAATAAGAAGTAGCAGATACAACTTTTATATCTAAGAAGATAAGTCATTCTTGAACTCTAATAAATAAGTTTTTAATAATTTCTAATGATCTAAAGGTAGTTCTAG